GGGGGGGGGGGATACTCTTGCCCGTTTAAGGTAGGGATGTGCCGCTGAGCCCACTGATCCCTGACCCTGTTCCAGAGTAAAATCGCTGAAATTCATACCCTGTTCCAGGGCAAGATTGCTGAAAATCATACCTGTTCCGGTATTGCAAAAATGGATACCCTGTTCCAGAAAGGAGAGAGCGTGATTTCATATACCCATATAGCAAATATAGGGGAGTACCCCCCCCCCCCAGGTTTATTTTCTCAGTCTTCCTGACACCTCAGTTTTGCAGTAACATTATTTCTATGTCACTATTTCAGATCTCAGCTGGCTAACAAAAGCTAATGGTTACCATAGATTCATTAGCTCACACAAACTTTTTTTCAATCAAACAGAAACCAGCAAACATTCTAGTAATGGGAGAGGGGAATGAAAGAGGAAGAGTAAAAATAGGTAAGCAAATTCTATAATTTTGATTTCATGTCATGTCTCTTTTTTTTTATTTTTATATAATTTAATTTTTTTTTTCACTAAATGTGAAATCCAAGTTTCCCTGAATTTTTCCACATTGCACAGCAAACTCAGGGATTAAACCCTGGAACAACCTCTGCGCTGATCTTGGTCAGGGCATGGCTAACTCACAGATTRAACCCTGAAACAACCTCTGGGCTGATCTAATTAAGTCAGGGCATGGCTAACTCACAGATCAAACCCTGAAACAACCTCTTGACTGTTCACACTGTTTATGCACAGATTGAAAACTTATTCTTTCCTGCTTACACTGTTTTTTTTTCTGCATTTCTTTGGATGCAGCTGACATGGGATTTGCTCGTCTATTCAATTCACCTCTGAAGCCCTTAGCAGACTTGGACCCTGTCGTAGTAACATTTTGGTACAGAGCACCAGAACTACTTTTAGGAGCTAGACATTACACAAAAGCAATAGGTAAGAAACTTGAAATTACAATAAGATTATACAAGGTATCAACTAAACGAATTAGGAATCTGGTGAAGTCGCCCGAGACAGGGTTGTCAATAGAAGCCGGTAACCAACAGATTCCGCTGTCTACTCTTGCTAATTCGGCCGCCTGCTTAGCTGCTTCCAAATGTAATTGTCAATCTTGATTAACCTAATCTTTGTTGCTGTGCTACGAAAACTGCAACGCAATTGAAACTACAACAATTCGTGTCCACCATCTTGAATTTTTGTGAGAAGAGTGAGACTGGTGACAAGTATACCTCGATTACATACTCCAGTGATTTCAGGTTTACTGCTTATTTCAATTTCATAACTGCCCTACCAAAAATTTTATTGACAACCCTGCCGAGAGTTCAGTTGCTCGAACCAAACTTGCCTGCTGCCTTTCTTCACTCACTAAAAGGAATTGCCTAATTATTAAAACTTATTAAACGGTAGTAAAGCTGTATAATATTAACATACGTAATAAGTAAATTACGAGCCTTAGATGAAACGACTGAAGAAAGAGTGCCATACAAGCCTTTCACAACTTCAAGTCGCGTAAAAAATGAGCCAG